TATGTCAAAACACTTCACAGTGGTTGTTTGTTTACTCTTTTTTAATAAACAAATTTTAAACAGAAATAATTCCGAGAAATATTTTACCGCTGTTTCCTTCCCAGATGGAATTATAGTTTTCAATTAGAGATGTTATCCAACGAGATAAATAAACTTTAGCAATCCAGTATAAACCCCACGATCTGGAAATGGTTTGCTACGAAATGTTATATATCGCTAGGCTATTATGATAAAGAAGGCTATGTGACTTTAAATCGGCCACTGCGAACTTTTCCATCTCGCTCGATGTTTTAGTTAAGATGTGGATTAATCGCGCACAACTTTTTTTTAATATTGAAAAAATCAGTTCTATATTGAGTAAATCTGTTTTATTCTTGGAATGTTGTTTGATGTTAGTTTTGAGATTGACTCATATCGATGCAGAAAATTCCAGTGTTATTCCCGAAGGCATTTTAGACTTTTTTTTTAGTCGGGAAACGGGTGAAATGGCGGCGAGGGGAGAAAATTTTGGGGATTTACATTGAAATTACATCTTTCTATTGTATAAAAAAGATTAACATTGATTTGTTTATATATGAAAGATTATGTTCATAGTATATGAGAAGATTAGTATTGATGTCAAAGTTCAACATTGATTGAGTTTAAATTCTTACAGAAAATAAACATTCATTCTCCACAAACATGTATCGTACCGGTTCCATCAATCCAAGCTGTTCCTGCGTGTATTTTCTTATCGTTACCTAAGTAACATCTGGAAAATTAAACATTGATAAAATGTATTCAAAAATTCGAGAAATAATCACTCAAATATATCTAATTCAGCATTTCACATTGCTAAAACAATTACATCTTAATCAACGTTATTAGACGAATTAATAAATTAATACAGCAATGATTTGTAGAAAAGGAACAACTTAAGAATTAATTATGAAGTTGGAATAATTCTTCGTCCTCTTTCAAATCAAATTTTAAGATCTAAACTTTAGAGATTTTAAATTTCTCTCTTCCTATAATTATCTCGGAACATCAGGATATGCATGTACATTGTATTCTTAAACATTAACTGAATTACCTGTAAATGTGTATTCCAAGGTCACCACAGCGCATATCATAATTACCTTCACTCCAAATTGCGTATTTCTTGATGTGTAATGATTCATCCGAAATATCATCGTATTCTGTTCCATTAAAACAACCTAAATCGCAGTAATAGATTTTACTTTTGAAAAAATTTATAGCAAAGAAATTAAAGCCATATTAGGAGTCATTAGAGGAAAAACTGATCTCGTAATAAGCAGCACATCAACAATCGGAAGATCAGAATAAAACCTTTATTTTCAATTCTAGCTCTTTTGCCACTATTGTAGATGTGGCAGTTCTTGAGCTGTTTGTTTTCCAACAAAAAAAGCCCTTCTTTCAAAGTGTCACCATTTTTATCCAAGCATGCTATGAACCTAAAATTTTAAATATTGTGGAAATGACAAATGACATAAATTTAGAATCAAAAACGAATTGGTTAAGATTGGTCAAAATATTTTTCTAATTATTGTTTTTCTAATTATTAAATGTTTTTCTAATTATTCAGTTTTACGATTATAAATTTCGAAAATTCTACCAGCTGTTTGTCAGATAATTGTTTAAGCTTACTTATTTGTGATGCATGAAATAACAAAATGATTGTGATAGTATTCTTCTTGACCATTACATTTGCGAATGTCCTCTTCTCCTGACCCTTCTTCACTTTTGATCTCATCGTCCATACAGGAATATTCGATATCGTTTTCCCAGAAGGATGGCGTCATAAGGGGTATCAAAGTTCCACGATCACTTACACAGTTCAGTACCTGTCAAACTTTAAAGTCATATTAAATGCATCCACAGTTAGCTCTGAATTGTATTTCCAAAATTTATGGAAACTTGTTTCAAAGAAGAAGAATGAAAGTAGATTATGAACACAGCCTGAATAGTAAAAATAAGAAATAAAATACGGTCTCTAAATTTGGCAGAATAATGAAAGAATGTAATTTTTTTCGAAATTTTTCCATAAAAAAATGAACAATATTGAATCTTAATTCTTCTGGATCTGTAAATTTCTTGAAAGAACTCTAAATGCTTTTTGATTTATTGTTTTTGTCTGAAGTCATTTTTGTCTATGAACCGATAAAGTTTATTTAAACTGTTGAATTTTTTTTAAATTCCGTAATTGATAATATTCATAACAGTAAACAATTGAGACAATACCAATCATTTCTACGAATGTTTTACAATTATTGCTTTTTATTGTTTTTAAATGAAAAGTTTTGAAAAGCGAAGCTTTTTTACCTCAATTTTACCCTTCTTACATGTCACATTAAAATGATCATCTTGAATCCATACGAAATTTTCAGGATAATGTGATCCTTGATCGATGCACTCTGAGTTGACTGGTAAGAAGTAGTTTAATAGATCAATCAAAAGTATAGAATGGTTGCAAAAAATAAGGCAGTAAGATTTATTAAACATATTGAAATCCCAGAATTATTCTTCCTGTGAGATCTGATTTCAATATTCGTCCATCTATTCGCCACTCCACCAATTAGTTCTTACTTATCCATTTTTTGTCGCAATTATTCTCTTTGAACTTTTCCCAACGAGAAGGCAATGTGAAATGAGATTACAACTCTTCACCTCTCAGCTTGAAACATCTCCCATACATACACACTCACATTTTTACAACAAACTTTCAATATCTCCACCTGCTATCCACTACTACTACCATTCGCTACACAACTTTTCTCACTTTTAACATCAAAAAAAAATTTATTACCTCTCATTCAGTCATTAATTCTGTCTAAGTGTGGAGCAATTGATCTCATTAGGTCCCATATTCCCATTTCTTTTGATCATTTCTGCCATTTTATTGTTACGATAGTTGTGACAAAACTAATCATCAATACAGTTACATGATTGACTTCAAATATTCTAGTTTGATGCGGTAACCTCAAAAAGAAAGAAAACTGAAGAAAAAATCTATAGGTAAAAAATTCATATCCATAATGAATGATTTACAAATTTTGAAATAAAAACTGCTAAAAGCTATAAAGAGAAATGAATAGCTATGAATTGAAAAAAAAAAGAAACCATTTTACAAAGTGCAAATTTCTATTGCCTTTGCGGTGAAAATTTGAAGCTATCTTGCAAAGTTGGATTATGTCAGAAATTTCAAGTGTGAAAAGAAGGCAAAGATATCTAAACACTTGCAATCCTTTTTCATTATCTTTTTGTCTTGTTTTCAGTATATTATTTGGAATACACTTAAAATTCAATTCTGTTTTCTATTTCATGATCCATCAATATAACAATGTAATTGATAGTGTAGTGTAAATTTTGAAAAACTCAAACTTAAAAAATTACCACCTCCAAAGTCTAAGACTGTTTTGTTAATTTTAACTAGATAGCTTCTATGAGAATTCATTTATAATAAATTCATTTATAATATGAACTTTTTCTAGAAACTCTTTTGGAAAACACTGAAATTGAACATAAGTATTACCGGTGAAATTGAGTAAGATACACCGTGAAAATTTAAAAATCTGAACAGTTACATCATCAATAGAATGAGCAACAAATACTTCAATATCGGGAATTGAACATCAAATAGTAAAGATATAATTTGACTTACGTATTGAAGTGAAACTAACAAGTTTTTAATGAAGACAACTTATCAGAATAAAATAATCTTAAATGGTAATCTAATGCAATTAGCAATGAGGAGTCAAATACCTACAACAAGTTAAACATCGCTAATTTTATCATGTTACAATTTTGGTCTCAAATAAACTGAAGCAGAGTAAAACTTTCTTCAAGTTATTACTAATATATAATGCTTTAAATAGATTATTATAAATTATTGAAACTTTTAAAGCATCGATCTTTCCATGCAATCCAAAGTCACATATCGTTTCTGAAAAGATTTGCATATTCCAAGAGATAGAATAATATTTTAAATAATTTGCATTTATAGAATTCAATCGATGAAAGGCATAAAAAGCATTGATTAACTTGGCAAACTTCATTGTCACTATTACTACTATATTACTATCTTTTGATTCTCAACTACTCGCTATGAATCATTCTGAGGTTAGAATCCTTTGAAACTGATATCCTTATCAAGTTGAACATAAGCTGCAATCTTAATCATGACCGTAGGGATTTTCTAATTCAGAAGGTATAAATCAATAACATATCAATCAATAAACATTTCATCATAGTTTTATAACAACGATAGAAATCATAGACGTCTTATCAAAAGAGATGTAATAGATGAATTAGTAAGCTGTTCAGTCTGTCATATAATGCATTATCTTCGGGTATTCTTGAATAATCTCAAAACTTCCTAAAGGAAATTTTAAAAGCTTAATATAACACGAAAGAAAAATTTAGCAATTTGGCAATTTTATTAAGGATCTAACCCTGCCCGATTGGCAATGTGAGAGATGTAATTTATACTCACCACAGACATCCGCCGCATTGTATTTATGGTGCGCAAAATGCGAAAAAATTGTTTGCGCTTTGTGCATTGGTAATTTTAACAGCGATTAGAAAGCGGAAGATTAATTCAATAAACCAAACAATTATTTTCTAGCTGGACTTCTTTTACTTATATACTTCCTAACCGGGCTTCTTTTGGTTATATACTTCTTAATTGAGCTTTTTTTAGTTCTAATAATAACCGGTTTTTTTTTTTGGTACATCGTTGTTTGACTATATCTGATATAGTCAAACAACAATGCACCAAAAAAACACCACTTTACAGTATCGTAACAAAAAGCAAATCATATTTGTTTCAATTATCGGCCGATTATATGCATATTAAATATATTAACTTAAGGCCAATGCAGCAATGAAACTCATCCGTGGATGCCAGCGAGTGAAATTATCTATGAACTGAAAGGAAGGATCGTTTATACAAGTGCGGAAATGGTTAAGGTATTTATCCGCCACTTTCCATTTGGCTATCAACTTTTCTGAATTTTTTGATTGTTTAGACTGTGGAAAATATGAAAATCATTGGTGAAGATGCAATGCGATCACTTCACGGACTCAATCAAATTCTGACAGAACTGAAGAAACAATGTGAAGTTGGTGCAAAGAAGCAATTTCCCATTTTTTTTCCATTATTAAACCTATCATTTACTTGAAAAACTTAATAATTTGTCGATCTTTAAAACTCCGAAACTTAATTAAGTGTTCAACAATTAGGATCTCATAAATTCTGTAAGGCATTTTCATTTAATTAAAAAGCTCTTATGGTAATGTATTAAGGGCATAAATGAAGTGTTCAACGTGTTGTCGGATGCTTTAATTGAACGGCGAAATGCTGCTGATATACGTCGTACGGAAACAGATGAGCATTTGCCGTTTACATCAACTCTGATACGGAAAATGAGAGCGGAAATCGAAGATAACAAAAACTTAGCTCACGAAGCATCTGCTTTAATTCTATTATTCAACAATACTATCAAACAGTGTTAGAAAAATTTCCTCACCAGCTATTCAATTAATAATTTCTATCTTGCAACATTAGAATCACTTTTTATTTGTTATTTTATATTAATTATCTTCAATTTAGATACATTATTAATCATTAATTAATTATCTTCAAAGTTTCGTGTGAAAGTGAATTAATTTCCAGCGGATGATATTTGTAAGGATGCTCGCAGTTTGATAAATTCACTTTTGCTGGAAGAGAGAGTTGGAGTGAAAAGAAAGGACGGTGCCAACATTGAACTCGAAGATGACATTATCAGTCACGAATCAAACGGAAATGCATTCGGTGACAATATGCTTGAGGATGATGAATACAATGTCACAGTTCGTGAAGTTAAACGTGAAGATGAGCGCATGGAGGTGATTGGACCGTTCTTAATTTATTCTTTATTCTTTATTACTAGTATGAAATCATTTGACATCTGGTGCTATGAACAATGCTACTGTTAGCATGTATCATCTTCAGGATTCCGGAAAAACAGGTATACTGGATGAAACGGCCCCAATGCAATCAACGGGTACTGCTGTAATGAAAACGATTAGCACTGACAAAATGTAAAATGAGAACTTTGATGTGATCTTAATGATTTACATTGTAAATTGTATGATATATCTTCTAGAATGGTTTAAACTGATTTGATTTCAATAAACTCAGTAAGCTAAACAAGATGAACAAGACATTTACATCTAGGAATTTCTCACTTGAGAGTTATGAGATCTCATGGGATCATTCAAAGCTTTGACATCCCAATCGCTCATCAAAAGATTTTTTCTTGATTAAATGCTTTAAGAGGGTCTCAGTTCGAAAATTTTCAAACTTCTTCCTCTAACTCATACCGTTGACTAACCTAATGGTACTTCAGATTCTCTAATAATTGTTAGTTATAGTGAGTTAATATTTTTTCATTTAATTGGTTTATTTGAAATTGTCATAATGCAGAGGATTGTCGTACGATAAATGTTCAGGAATGAAAGAAAAACCTCTACTTAACATAGGTGATCGATTATGACAGAAATCAATTAATTAAAATTAAAAAGAAAAATGTAATGCCTAGAAGCGCCAAAAGCGAGTAATACACTGATAAAAATGCGATTTGCATAAAAATATTTGCAAGTATTTCAGTTAATACTTTCAGTAAGCGTTACATCGGTGAATGGATGTAATTCAAAACAATTTTTAAGGGAATGGGTGAGCTACAAGAATTGTTATGTGATTAATTACGTTGAATAATTGTGTGTTGCTTCAAGTACGACGACTATTGCGAGTGATACCAAAATGTTACCACTAATGTTTTAGAAGCGATTGTATGATCTAAGTTTAGAATTACTATTAATTTCCAGTGAAATTTGGAGTAATTCAAGTTAACACTTTAGTTGTCAATTAATTTGTTTGCAATTTCATACATGTATGCATAGGACCCATTATTATAATATGCGATTTTCGTTTTTATTTCGCAAGAATACACATTAACTGCTTCACTTATCACTGATGAAATGCAGATTTGCAGGCAGAAAACAAGGCAAAGCTATTCAAGAATTCATTTCAAAACACTTTTTGTATCATTTCAATACTATTGCATATCAAAGAAGGATTAACGTTCATTTTTCATTAAAAAAAAAATGACAGAAATGAAGTACTTTCCTGTCTGAAGAAAGCAATTAAAATTTAAAGAGAAGTATGAAAATTATTGAATTAATTAGAATTAGAATCAAATGAATTGAAGTGGAAGTTATTTTCCTTGTTTCTTCCAAGATAAGCAACATTTTGAATACACGCATTGCATACGTAATTTCCACTCAGCTTTTCTATTGCCGAGATGAACCGAGCAAGTTATTCTCCTCGTCATCAAGCGAACCAAGTTCAAAAAAAATGGAACCTTGAAGCTGCTTTCAGTAGAAAAATTTTGGAAAACTGCATATTGTTTATAAATGCACATTTAAGATATATAAAATTTCTAAATTTTGAATAAAATAAGTTAAAAATTTTCCTATTTTGGCAATTGAGAAAAAATTTTCACATTTCAAATTAAATTTACAAGAAAAAAGAAAATATTTGCATACTGTAAACATAAACTCAAATTTGTTTACAAGAAATTCAAATTAATCAACTGTGTATAAAAAATGATTTATTTGAATTAGAATTTCATTGTGCTACCAGAAAGATGCCAAACCCGCCGGCTAAAGAGGACACTTGGGCTTTTGGACCGATTGGTTCGCCATTTCCGGATAATCCAGTCCGAGCTACCGGACAGCAAAATATGTATGTGGCCTTATGGTACAAGCACGGCAAACCAATACATGGACGAGCGTGGAATAATGGCGGTGTTATCGAGTGCTCGTTCCCGTATATCAAGGCGGAACTGACTGGTGCCAAAGATCTTGGCGGACAGATTCAGGTCATTATCGATTAGGCTGAGAATTAGGTTTTTCTAGTTGAAATTCTTTCCTTGAAAACAGGTCCATGGTAGCAGCATTTTCAGGTATTGCAATACAAAGGCGATCACTTAACGTTAGGTTTCTGGTATAATTGGATTAAATATAAGGATCGATTTGAAAAATTTGAAAAAGGAGCTGAACTGTTGCGCTGTGGTGATTCATTCCCTATCTTCTGGCATGATCGAAAAGAAGGACCCCTACTCGGTTACGTTGATAATAAAACTGAAATCGGTAAGAAAATCATAAATGAATTTAAAATCATCCATTTCTCTTAACTCAACCCGTCAATCAATATTGCTATTTTTCATTGTAAAGAACTCAAACAAACTTAACTTCATCCGCATTTCTCAATGAAATAATCACCGTAATTCTTAGCGCGATTTTCACATGACGGAAAAGTGGAAGAGTTTTCGGGTGGTGCATTGAATGATATGCTTATTATTGTGCGAGAACTAAAAGGTGGACCACCGAATTGTGTTTGTCACGAATGCTGTGCTGGACCACCGAAACCGGTTGTTCGTGTTACGCTTGATGAGTGGGCCGATTTCCGTTACGGTGATCCATGGCCAACAACTGGCAAATTGGTCCAGGCTCTCGACCGGTATCATTCATTTTTCTAATTTTACACCATATATGGATTCTCGAGTTGTTAGGAAAAAGCGAATTTCAGCTCTCTCAATACTCTGCCTGGTGAGAATCCGAATCAGTACGTGGCGTTGTGGTACCAGTCTGGTGAACCAGTTATGGGTCGTATTTGGAATGATGATGGCAAAATTGCTGCTTGTTTTGGTTGGGGTGGCCATGAATATCGCAAAAATATCGGTTCCATCCAAGTTTTATTCGAACTTCCGGAGAAAATACGTGGTTTCGACTACTCCTGGAAACCGTTTAAAGAAGCAGCTCAATTTGGTACAAGGGAATGGATTCCAGTACACGTGGATCATCATAAGGGAAATATTTCTCCTGCCGTTTTAATTATCGACGGCAAAGAAATTCTTGGTAAAGTAAGTGTTGACTTTTAATATTAAATTTACGCAAGTTATGTTCATCGAAACATTGATTAATTACGTCTGATAATATTCTCTTTTACATGATTCTAGGCTGATATTCGTAACGAACGTGCCACGGTAGGCCACGGCGGGAACGAGAAAATTTACGTCGGTCCTGCAGTACATACATGCGTTGTTTTATGTCGAAAAGCAAGACCCGGTTGCACAATTGAATGAAATACGATCAATTTAATGTGTATTTCATTAACGTGTATTCTATGTGTACTGCATGAATAAAATTTCATTTCTAATCGATGCGATCTACTTGCATCAAACGGAAATGAGCAATATGCAAATCTGTTCATTTAGAATTTATAAAGCTACAATTTTTAAGACCTATTTTAGTCAATATTTTGAGTTATCTGATTCAATTCTGCCGATATTTTATTGCGCTCGATGAAAGAAATGTTTGTTGTGAGTTCAAAAGCTTAAAATAATTTACAAATGAGAAAAGAAAAATACCTCAGAATGAATTGTAATGGAAATCTATGTTAAAAAATTAAGATTATTAAATTTGAATAAGAGGTTGAGAAAATACAAATAAAAGACTCAAACTGACTGTAGCATCCGATACGTAATGCAAAATTCTAGTAAGTTGTAGAGGCTGGAAAATAACAATACACAAATGATTGGGTCGTATGTGATATGAAATGATTAAAGCTAATTAGCTTTATTGCAGCGTGCAATATCCGCTAGTTTTCACTTTTTTTGTCTTGAAATCTGTGTACTTTAGAAAGAGCGAAAGCTGAGATATAAATATGAAATAAAAGGTCATATTACCAAAATAAATAATAATGCTAAATAAAAGCGTGATTAATTTACTAATACCAATACATCTTGTAAGTTATTGTCTTGAACTTCATGGAAATTTTCAAGAAATTGAAATAAAACTAAAATTTACAATGGAATTTAAACTATCAATTATTCTAAAGAAATGTGCAGAAAGCAAACTAATGATAAAATTTGAAAACGAAATTTTTTAGAATTTAAAAGCGAAATTTTTTACAAATTAGCTAAATCATACCTTTTCGAAATTATCAACTGCAGTTTTCAAATCATCAGTTCGCACAAGCTGAATGTATCGAGAAATTACGGTTGTGAAGGATTCTGGTTTTTCATCAGGTTCTCAACTGCAAACATATTTGTGATCTATTGAGACCGTTGATTTACAGGGGAGGGATTAGGTGGTTGGAGTTCCGGTGTATTAATTCAATATTCGCTTTAATTTTATTTTTCAAATTTCTTCCTGATGTACATTTAATACTTGATTACCAATTGCAAAGTATAATTTGTTTATATCCATATTTTTGTATGTCTTTCTCCTGAAAGTTTAACTCCAATCTAACTCAAATTGTAGTATGAGGAACAGTAACAGGTCATACTGTTCTCCGTTTCCCATCATTTTTTTTCCCCATCATTTTCAGCAATTAACTTGTTAATTAGAGTAGAAATCTGAGAGAAAATCAAACAAACTTCGATTTATTGATAAGAACATGGCACGTTTCTTCATATAATCCAAAAATTGTATTTCATGCAAATGATAATAGGGTGTGATAAATTCATCATCATTTGATGATGAAACTTGAAGTATTATTTGAAGTACTGTTGTCATTTTTTTTTATAAATTTAAGAATTACAGATGACTTTATTGGACAACGATCACTTCCTGGTAGAATTAGCAAAATTATTTCACAAATGTCGTACTTCCACTCAACATACAATAACTATTACCCTGAAACATTGTAAGTAATTTTACTATTTATCTAAAAAATATTTTTCGTGCTTGTTTGTTTTTTCTTCGCAGAATCGAACTAAGCAAAATTCGAAATATAATGCAACAGTGTCAGTAAATTTTTGATGACATTAGATTTGGTTAGTTATCTTTTCATTTATATGTAGTGTAGTGTAATTATTAATAATCGAAAATGGTGGATAATTAAATTCTTAGAAGAATGTTGTTTTACTGCTGTTAATGCATTGGATTCATCGAATGCAGCCCAACTTACATTTATTAAATGAAGTTGTTACAAAATTGCACTTATGAAATTGTTTAAAACTTATAATGTTTTTCTAAATTCTATTAGAAGTGTGAAATGAATTCTTGAAAACAAAGGGAATTGAAAAATAGCACAAACTACGTAATCTATTATATAGTTGGGACAAATTATTTCCGACACATCATTATTTGTAATCTGTTTGTCCATTTACTTATTTTTTATTAGATATTTTCAGATGATGGAAGGACGAAACCTTATCCGAGAAATGAAGCACAACAATCATTGAAAGGCGAAGATCTTTGTCTGTTTCGAGTGAAACTTGGTGGCAAGAAAATTAGCACTGTGGTAAGGATAAAGAAATGATGTGAAGCATTAAGTTTGCTTGTTTGGAATGAGATAAACTTCACAAATATGACCAGAATACTGACCATTTCGCCTTTGA